ATTCTTTTTTTCTTTTTGGTGTTGAAAGCATAGCAATATAAGTACACAGAATACACAACAGGCACAAAAAAAGCAATTTGGAATGGAAAACACAGTAATACACAAAATGACATGAAGTGCAGAATGAAAGGTACTGCAAAGATATTACAAAAACAAAAACAATAATATAAATTATGTGTAACATAACACCCAATTATAAGTGGTCTGGGCATGCATCCGTAAACATGCAACCAAGTGGAAATAAAAAAAAAAAAAATGCCATCATGAGTTGAGAAACAAGAAAATCAATCAATAAATAAACAAAACAGTGAAATAAAATAAATAAATATTACCACTATGGACACCGCAACCAGCAGTAAAACTAATAATAGTGATACTGGTAATGACAGTGACCATAAAAATAACAGCAACAACACTAATGACACTGATAATAACAATAGCACTTGCAAAACAACTGTAATTCTTATTTATATTTATTTATTGTAATATCTTTTTCTTCTTTCCTTCCTTCCTTTCTTTTTTCTCCCTTCTCTTTCTTCCCTCTTCCTTTTTCTCTTTCCCACTTACTCTTTTGGATTTAGTATTAATTTGTTAATGACTTTTGGCATGATTGTGGAAGGATGTCATGGTGAGGTCAGCTATGGTGGGCCCCTGGTTAGATGATTTTATTTAACTGATCTGGTAGGGCTACCCAACTTCCTTGGAGAGATTGCTAGCCCAATGCTGGTACTATATAGTCCCTTTCAGGAACTTTGGACAGGGAGATACTGTATCTGCCAATAGAGATTTGTTGGTCTGACCCATGACAGCACAGAAGCATAGTGTTTAACTCAGCAAGAAACCCAGGCCGACCAGGGCCTTTCTGTTTGGAGTTTGCATGTTCTCCCTGTGCCTGCATGGGTTCTCTCTGGGTACTCTGGCTTCCTCCCACAGTCCAAAGACATGCAGCTTAGGTTGATTGGTGACTCTAAATTGCCCCTAGAAGTGAGTGTGACTGTGTGTGGTTGTTTGTCTACATGTCAGACCTGTGATAGACTAGCGACCTGTTCAGGGTGGACCCTGCCCCTTGTCCAATATCAGCTGGGTTAGGCTGACATTGGACATTGCCACATTGACTGATGAGAGTGCACAGGTCAAGGGACAAAGGATGCTCAAGGTAACTGTTGCTGGCTGCACCATGGAGCGCTGGTTCAGGCTGGTCACCATTTAAGATCCATGCATCTTTGACCTTGACCTGCTGGCAGAGTTGGGGGCTGTGGTGAATGTGTCTGGGGCTATGCTCTGCCTGGGCATGGGTGCCATGGCTCACAACAATACCTGCAGGGACGTGATGCAACCAACCATGACACTGGGCTAGGGGCTCATCCATGCCTACAACACTTTCCCAGGAGGTGTCCACCAAGATCAGATGAGCCAGTGATGGCTTGTATGAGAGGAGCTGCAGAAGGAAGAAGTGCTGGGATGGCCTGCGCACTGAGGGCCAGGTCACTGCCCCAAGACAAACAGCAGCTGGAGGGGGCTGACCCAGCACTCCCATGCTCCCCAGCAACAGGATAAGGTGGGGGCTCTGATGGATACAGGGCCCCACAGACGCAGGCCCAGGATGCTTGGAGCCCAGGAGAAAACTTTGTCCCTGGAGCGCTGATGTGGGTGTATAGCCCTGGAAAGAAAAAGGATTTGTCCCCACATTCAGCAAGCCAGTGGAGTGGACCCTGTACTGTACTGAAAAGACTGTCAGATGCAATGTATAAGGTTATACTGAATAAGCGGAACCAGGTGGTGCTTCATAGGGACAGACTCGCACCATACCGGCTCACGGCTTCAACTGAGAGGGCAGTGTCAGACAGCAGGA